CCAATAAACTCACCCGAGCTACCAATATTTCAACAAATTACCAGAGTTAAGTGCGTTCTTCCAGCTGCAGGTCTGTCACAGATGACACCATCACAACAAAGGTTTTTCGAAAGGTAAGGCTGTCACTTTCCGTTGTTTTAATGCTGTGAGAAAACTACTGCTTTTGGTAATACTGATGGCAGATCAAAACATCAACAATAGTTCTGGATGACGTGTTGGTTGAGGCCCACAAATGCTGCTGCTTATGGTGGAGCAAATTTAGTGCTTGCTCAAGCAACAAGTAAAGAGCATTAAATTTTAGTTTTTCTTCCAAAAACTACTAAATCAGTTCGCAAGTACCACTCAGTTCTGACAATAAGCTTTATGATAGAATAATGATGCGCCGCTTGCGAATTTATTCTGAAGTATTTAGACAATCTTTTGGGACAAACATAAATTTGTTGGAATGACATATATCTATTCAAAAAGTGGTAACGCAACAATTGATTTCTAGATCCGACATGTCAGAACCGCATGCGTAAAATTACATAGCAGAAAAAATGAATGCATACAGTATTGCCAAGACCGGACATTTGTGTTATCCTCGAAATGATTGCTTTATAACGTAGAGGACGTGGCACACAATGCTGAACTGCTTTACTTACGTTTGCTGGGGCCTTCAACTGGAGAATTTAACAGAAAAACAATACGCGTTTGAGCAAACGATATAATTCAGAGCATTGCTCAATGCAGTTTAGATACCCAATTTCTCAGACAGCATTCTTCTGGTGTCTAACATAGCCATCCATCTCTTGAAATTGTCCGCTTCTTTTACGTGTCAGCCATGTTGAGTCGCAACGCTTGTACTGGATCTTGTCTTTGCAATCACAGTTAAGTATAGCTAAGACCAATGGTATATTTGATGCGGCCTTTTGAGAAAACAGGCTTTGCACTGCAGTAGTGCAGGATAACATGTCCATTTCATAAATGAGTGAACAATGGTATGAGAAAATGGAACACTTTACTGAAATAAATTGAATGAAATCATTTTGCACGCCGTCGCTAGCTAACATTGAGGTCAAGAAACATTTGTTCTTGAGGCGGGATAACGCAACTGACAGACAGACACAACTAGTCTGGTAAAGTTATTGCAACGCGGACTGACTGGCTAATTCTGATATGGCTTGTGTAGGAGGTGTAAACGTGAATAAGTGTCAGCCTCGTCAAGACAAGCCCGGACTAAACAATACTTAACTTTGTAGGAAAACACCGCCTCTAATTCAGCACTACAGTACAATATAGACAAATTCAAACGTGAAACGACTACATCACTGGAGAATTTGAAGAAAGGTCCAAACATTTGATTTCCCAACAAAGGTTAATACTTTTAGCACTTTCTCCATATGTGTTCAGGGCTTTTACACAGATTAACAAAGTTATTAGGAACGAAAACAGTTTCAATACCGAATGCAGTTACCAGTGTAAAATCACAAGACTCAAACAGGCTATTACACGGAAACTGAGTCACCAACACTAAAAGCATTTAGTAATCAAAACCATGCTTATGTAAGTCAACCCACAGGTTGGAGTTCCGAAAAAATATGGGCCTCATTTGGTTCACATGGCTGGAGCGCCGCATCAAAATCTGGCGCATCAGCGGAAAATTAGGTGAATAAATTTCATGGGCTTATGTGAGTTCCGTGGCAATAATATACCCCAGAATGTTAAATGTTAAAAGATACGCGTTTTCCTTTCACAAATGTTCCACAAATATTCATCTGACATTGAGCTAAGCATCTCCGTACGAGGCTTTCATCTTTATATTTCCTTTGCATTGAAATCATTTGGCCCTAACTAGTCGAGCTGTCCATCGATAAATCAACAATTTGGCGATGAGAATCCAGCGAGTTTAAACCACTGGCATTATTCCACATTTGAAAACAAAATGGGTAAGGAGCACATCTAAACCAGCTACTATTCTTCCGCTGAACGACAGCTAGCAGGCGTAACAAAAGCTGGAACGCCTAAAACAGTACAACGACATCCCCATGTGCACAGCTGAGCAGAAATTGGAAATTTTCTGCCGTTTTCAACAAGGTTAGAATGAAGAAAGTAGACACGGATCACTCATTGTATGTGATGTTTCACAAGCTCACTGGAAAAGTGGTATATCGCAATTTTGAAGGTCTTTATCTTATTACCTTTGAACAAAACTCATTAGAAATTTCGTTTCCTGGAGCCAAAAACATGCTCTGAGGAAGCATTGGAGATATCGGTTCTTCGAAGAGATAAACGATTACCAAAACCCTTGTATCAGATCACCAAATTAAGTGCGATTACAGACTGAACGTCTCTCTTATTGTTTCAGGTGGCATCAGAAAAAGGATTAACACAGAAGCTGTTGCAGAAAACTTCCTTCCCGTCTTGATAGCTGTTGCTTTAGACGCGACGACTGCTTAAAAATGACAGCTTAAAAAGATATTCTTTTTAGTCTCTCACCTGAAACACTCTGTCCACTTTGTACATCTTATTAGAACTGATGGAGGACACAGAATTAGTGTGCAAACGAACACAGTTTGCTAACTTGCTGTTGTGTTTATTCGACTAAATTATTCTCAAGAAATTTTCGTCTTAGAGGGGTTTTTTTGGTCAGATATAATGGCTGGCTGCCACGTTTTCAAAACAAGCACTCAGCTTTTCACATTGCAGAAGCTAATTTCTGTAACATCTGGCCAACCAGGTGCATTTATTTTTCGTAAAATAAGTGATGAACACCTGAGCATGGGCTAAAATGCAGTAAATATGAGGCAAGAGTTAACTGGTTGATTCCATCCTCGCCATTCCTCTGAGCTACAGACGTGACCTCTTATTTTCTAACCCTTATTCTTTGGTAATTCTTGCGCCGGTACACGAATTAGCAGGCAACAAATGTGCTTCAAACAATAATGATCAGTGAAGCTACTCACAAGGTTGCTGAAAAAACTTCGACAGCCCACGACCGGTTTCGCCCTTCTTAGGGCTCATCAGGTAGGCGCAGTCCCCGAGTTTCCGTCAACCTTATGATTTACTTGAACCCTAATTGCACTGTTTTTGAGAAATACACTCAGTTGCAAGTCAAGTTTATGAGCCCCAAAAAGGGCGAAACCGTGTCGTGGGCTGTCGAAGAGTTTTAAGCAATTTTGTGAGTAGTTTCCTTTATGAAAATATACTGCGATATCCCGAATATCGTGCCAACAGAAACATGAGGCGGCCTGTGTGCAGCACATTCAGTTATAGAGTATCATAAACGAGAGATTCAGTTGAGCCTCTCATGAAAACCAAATTGATTTGAAAATGAGCGTATTTCTCAAAAACAATGATCAGTAGTTCAGCACTTTATTTGCTTTTTTCCATTTCGGAAATTCCAAATTCATTTTGGTCTTTTGAAATCAGGACTGACGTGAACGTTTTTGAAACAAGTCGATAAGTTAAACCGTAAAGATTCATCCACCGTGGGCGACGTTTTCGATGGAGATATTTTGCACACATTAAGCAAATCGTACTGAACACCCAAACAGCCGATAGACACTCAGAAAACACGACTTATACGCTCATCTGCATACCCGTTTGGTTTTGACGTTTTCACCTGGAAGCCAATGGAATCTCCCGCTTATAGTGCAGAAGAACATAATAAACTAGAGATCCAGTCGGGTTCCAGGTGTCTCCCGCCAAGATCACATTGGTAGGCAGGTGAGTCGAATTTCGTGCCATTTGGTTTCAAGGGGAACATGAATTTGAGGAAAGCTAGGATACCTCGCCTACCTGATGAGCCCCAGGAAGGGTAAACCAGGTTATCGACGAGCTTTCAGCAACCTAATGAAAACCCATCACATGTGTACATTTGAGGAAACCTTATAGCAGTTCAGGCTAGCTATCTGAAAAGGGTATTACAGGTTGGTGTACATTTGCTAATGTAAAACGTAGATCGCGTTATGTTGAGGCAAATGACGTTAAACTATTTGGCGGGTGCCTCTAAAAACCATTTGAAATAATTGTAGATGCGCGATCACATTGGGACTTATAGTCATGCGTAATTACTAACCAATCCTAAGTTCAGGCAGTAGGCAGACCACTTTCAGTCTCATTTAGAGAGGATTATCCACACGGCAGTTGTAACTTATTCAGCGGAGTTTCACCGATTCTCCGGGTATCAATTCGTTAGACCGTCTATCCGATTTACATAAGGACGGTCACAAGTTTTTAAGCACGACAATTTGAGGAAAAGGTCGACTCTAGCACGCCAGACATTCATTCTCCGACCTAACAGGCCTGTAACGATTGCAGACTAAAAAAGGTTCTCGCTCGTGCAACGGTGGACACCCCCTCCGTTCTGCAACTTTAACGTAGTAATAATATTCAGCTTTTTATTAAACAGTAAACATTTATTTTTCCACAGAAGGACAAGACAACGCCGCTTGATACCTTGTTAATACCAGACGAAAAAATGTGTACGACATAGAGATGTTGCCTTACTCATAGTTATTTCAACATCGTCGGCTGAAAACACAAGAAAGTATTAGGTTTTTTAGTTCTATTTTAACGCATGAAAGCATTCTTACTTTGTAACTAGTATGACCCTTTCGAAACGCTCGCGTGGAATAAATTTCCCCATACAGTCTTACTTTAAACGGATACAGATTGGCATATGTTAGAAAGAAAGTACGTCACCTGTCAGAGAAATTGTATTAAAGCAACCCGAACTGTTCCAATGTTTCTGCTGAACCTAGCTTTCTTTAAACACACTAATTCGTCTGT